TTTCTGCGTGTTTGAAACTCTTTTAGTTGTTAAGCTCATAGCGATGGTTTACTTTGTACTTCAGATCTTCTAGAGATCGATCTTCAAGAGAAAAGTCACGAGACAGAGAGAGGAAAGAGAAGAACTCTTCTGAGAGGCGTCACGAGAGCACAAATGGCAAATCTCGTTCCAAGAGATCAGAAGAGAGAGAAGCTGGCGAGATCTGAACTCGAATGATCTGTGTTGCACTGTAAATAGTCTGATAAAACATTCTACACAAAGCCTAAATTCCCCATTTATATTTACTGAATACAACTCATCTTTTGTAGTTTGGAATTTTTATTGTTTGGCAGATAGCTGTGAGTTTGTAGAGACAGTTACGTACTGTTAACAGGATCTTGTTTTAGTAGGAATCAATAAATCTGGATGGATCGTTTCCAATTCAGGCCTGTGGCTGCCACGCTGTGTTTGTCTGACCCAGTGACCGCGGCCACCTCTGCAGCGCTTCAGCCCTTCCCTAAAGGTCTCCCTGACCCTCTGTGGGCACACCAGTAGCACTGGTTCTCACTTTATAATTTCTTCCTCTGTTTATATGAAATTCAGAAATGGGTTTTTTGGTTGGTTTTTTTTTTTGGTTTTTTTCATTTTAGTGCTTAGCCACCTCATTTTTACACCTCCAGCATTTGAGAGCTGCCTCGCTACTTCAGCTAAGTCAAGACAGACCACATTTGGCCCCGATGTGCCCATTTTGAAAGGTGTTCATCTTTTGTGAGGATGACAAAATCAGTTGGAGCACATTTCTAACATGGGCTCAAGTCTGGTTTTAGTACTTTTCCAGATCAGAAACAACCAAAACAGTGCACAGTCTGGGACCAGGATACTTCAGTAGCAGGGTATAGACCGAGCCTGCCTGTTTAGTGTGCACACCAGAGCCAGGGCCACTTCCGTGGCATTTTCTGACTTGCAAAAAAAGCGTTTGTGTATGTTTTTTATCCAAGGCCAGGCAGGCAGAAGGTGGCCGAGCGGTAGAGGTGACTGGGGCTGGAGCTAAGGCCATGGTCAGGGTGAGGTGAGGGAAGGCAGGAGTTGCCAGCAGCGCACTGCTGCTCCTGGGACCTCAGCACCAGCGTGTGGAGGAACTTTGCATATTGTAACTCGCTTATTTGTAACTGGGTTTATTTTGCAGTGGGGAGGAGCCTGCCCCGCTGTGCCCGCCACAGCCCGGACCCCCGCACCGGTGTTCTGTGAGTAGCTTACTTACCACCCACCGTGCTGGGCGCTGTCGGGGCACGGGTCTGGCTGCTGCTCCTCGGCCCGGTGAGGCCGGTGTCTGTGATTAAAACCGCTCACTCCTAACGCGAACAGGAGCGCGGCTGTCAGCCCGCGTTCCGGCCGTGTCCGGGGCGGGGGGGTCTGCCCGGTGCTTGTCCCCTTCAGCCTCCCATAAAGCTGCTTAACAGTTTTGGTTCCCCGCGGCCGCCAGGCGCTCCCTCGGTGTTAGTCCTTAGTGCATGCGACCCACCCCTGTTGTTTTACAACTAACCCCGC